TTTGTGCATGTGAGAAAGTGACCTTAGAGAGAACCGTACCTGTAATTTGTGCATGTGAGAAAGTGACCTTAGAGAGAACCGTACCTGTAGTTTGTGCATGTGAGAAAGTGACCTTAGAGAGAACCGTACCTGTAGTTTGTGCATGTGAGAAAGTGACCTTAGAGAAAACCGTACCTGTAGTTTGTGCATGTGAGAAGGTGACCTTAGAGAGAACCGTACCTGTAGTTTGTGCATGCGAAAAAGTGACCTTAGAGAGAACCGTACCTGTAGTTTGTGCATGTGAGAAGGTGACCTTAGAGAGTACCGTACCTGTAGTTTTTTCCTCTGACATGAACTGTAGGTGTCCATAATGGCAGGGGAGCATTGAGCATCACACTCAAAAGGAAATGATTTGGTGTCTGAAGTTTGGGGTCTTAAAAACAACAAAGACGAGATTTCACGATAAATTCAAAGAAAACGAAGTATCATCAAAGCACAGAAAGAACACGACAGAAATTTAACTGTTACGAAAGCCTTTGTGTCTCTACCATGGACTAGCAAACCAAACATCAGGCCCCAATGGTTGGAGGGGTGTGGATAAGGCGATACACTGGATAAATTTAGATTATTTTTATTATTTTTATAGTAAAGTTTTCTTATTCTTTTGTGTTGAACTTTTGAAGACTTTGCATTTCCTTTGTCAAGAGACTTAAAGTAAGATATAGACTACCTAAACAGCACATTATAATTTTATTATTCATAGCCATATAATTATGTAGTTTAGGTTAGTGATATTTTTCCTGAAACGGAGAATTGTAACTTGCAAGCTTTTTTTTTTTTAAATTTTTTATACACTTTCATGTTAGATTCAATAAAGGTTATTTCTCGTCGAAAATACACTGGATAAATCTCACCCGGTGGAGTGTGGAGTACATTTGTTGACACGTATGTGCTGGGTAGCGATCAATCCGCTGGATAGTGTTATCCGTTATTTGCAAAAATTGAGCCCAGGTTGGCAAACATTAAAAATACTCCATTTTTACCCTATACATAAATGGCAGACTTGATTAGTACTCTTTTGTATTCATGTAGCTAAACCCAGCTAGCCTCGTCAGTATGAACAATAAAAAACCTTAACTCAAAGATGAGGCTAGCTGCGCTAATTTACGCGAGTACAAAAGGATATCAGATGGGCCTGGCATTTATGCATTCTGTCCATGCAGCAGTTTTCTTAAGTCGTACCATATTGTGTTCATGCACATACCTCCAACGGGAGTTTGACTCAGAATCAAAAGTTGTTCAAGTGCTGTCGACCGCACCTAAAGAGAAGATTATATTATTGTAAGGTAAGATTTGTGGCTCAGTGGCTAACGTCAAGGAAATTACCAAAGCCCTTTAACCCTTAAGGGTGATTGACATCTAACTTACCCCCCCCCCCCAGTAACACTGCTGGATCAAACACTACGGTCACGAGGAAAAGGAAAATGATCGCGGCAAACTAGAGAAATTCTTGATAGGTGAACAAATACTCCATTTTATGCTCACCCATGTTTGGGTGCAAAGAGTAAAATAAGCAGCTGTGGTGGAGAAATGACAAGCGTCACTGACAGATTTCTTTAATATAATAATAATAATAATAATAATATTAATAATAATATTATTAATAATAATAATAATAATAATAATAATAAGTTAAAAATCATCTAAAAATTAAAAGGGTTAGAGGCGTGTTTAAAAAGATATGTTTTTAAATGTCGTTTAAAAATGTCTATCGAACTACTGGATCTTAGTTCAAGTGGGATCGAGTTCCATAGTCTCGGTGCTGCCACAGCAAACGCTCTCTCTCCATATGTTTTCAGTCTTGCTTTCGGGGTCGCCAGAAGGTGTTGAGAGGACGATCTTAATTTCCGTTCAGAGGTGTGGTACTTTTATTAGTAATTCACTGATGTAGGAAGGCGCTGTTCCTACCAAACGCTGTTCAACTAAACGATCAAATGAATACCTGAGAATTGATGGAGCCTATAAGAACTTCCACAATGAAGTCATTTACATTTGGGAGATAGTAAAATACTCCTGGAAAAAAAAAATTGATCCGTCAGACAATTGCATAAATGAATAATACCAATACAAAGTTTTCAATAGTTGTGATTGTAATACGTCTTACCCATTAATTGCGTTCTAAGTTGCAAACAGAGAACTAAAAGCTGAAGGGCTTCGCCAACTATAACAACATCCTGGTAAGAAAAAAAAAATCGTGTCCGTATGGGAGAATACATGATACTGAACACAAGAGCTCTAAATATACCATGTTTTTGGCCGACCACCAGTGACAACAAAAGTGGCCATTCCCACATCTATAATGGATTTTCCAGGAAATTCTCGCACATGAGGGAAGAGTATTGGCTGGTAGACAAAGTGTAGTAGACTGTTTTGTGTGTTTGTTTTTAGTTTCAGGGTTGGTTTATTTTTGCTGATATTAAACATTCCAAGTATATGTATTCCAACTGACGATGAAGAAATTAGGGATATGTATAAATCAATGAGGTTTTGTTTTCAATATGAGTATAAATCATCCGTGATGTATTATTTTGTAATCAATTCATGAAGGCCAACGCGGAAAGTGTAAAGATCACGGGTATCAGATGAGACTACGAAAAATCCGTCCAATTCGGCGAAGTCCGTAGCGTAATTTTCTTTTTCTTTTTTTTTTTTTACCCGCGCGACGGACTTCGCCGAAATGGAGGGACTACTTGTAGTCTAGTGTCAGATGTTCAGCGTCATGCGGGCAGGCCATGCCACTAAGAATAACAAGTTGTACGTCAATAAATCATGTTCAAACCTTGTTTGTAACCTCTGAGGGGTTCCCACTGGAAACACTTGATCTGAAGGATTTCACAGACTCCGAATCACTCCCCCCTCCTCCCATACTACTTCCTTCATCATCCGAGCTCTGACTGGATAACCTTTGCCTACCCCCGGCCAGGTTTATTCTGCCAGCAGCTGCAGCCCAAGCCACACGCATGAAACATGCAATTGTTTCTGCAAAATCATCACGACCCATTGTCTGAGATGAGAGAAGAGAAAATTAGTATCTTACAATAACAAGACTTTCAAACTTTTTCATGATTTCACTTCGATTTATCAGCTCACAAAATAAGGAAAACCCCTTTTCGGTAAGATGTGAAACTTACCATGTCTTATTCGTGATCTATGTTAGTAGAGTGAGTTTTCAAAAATATTATGAATGTCACACCAATTTTGCGACGCAAGAAATAATTCTGTATTGCAGTAAGTCAAGTGAATTAGGTATCATGTAATAGTATGTTTCCAGTGTCGGCCAGCGTGTGTAAGTAAACAATTTCTAGGTGCATATCAGGTATCAATGTTAGTAGTGTAAATTAGAATGACTTTGTAAGTAACCCTCATTATCATATGATCCATGCGGCCCTGCGCGCGCAAACCCAAAGAAAACCATAGTGAAAGCTGACTTGTGTAGGGCCGGCCCTTCCACACAGTCGATGAGCACATACAACGTGAGTTATGTTACGCTTCTATATGGTGTGTTTAGTAATATTATTACTGTATAGATGAAAAAAAAGGTGTGACCTAGGGTAGCCTTTTACATTCCCTTCCTGTACTACAATGGTAAAAGTAATACAGTAATTGTAGCCGTCTAACCTCGTGAAAAGTTACTGTACATGTATAATCGTTGGAATTTTTTTTCTCGAAAAACAATAACAGCAATCATAACAAAAACAAACAAAAATTCGAAAGAGTAAAACACGTTTTTAAAGCGGTATATTATTGTGGGAACTCGGGCTCTTCGACATACCTCAATAGCAACTCTAACTGAGGGGTGTACATCATCGATGACGCTACTGGAGCGTGCTCTTTTTGCTTCCACTGCTGAATTGTTCAAACTGTCATTCAAATCTGTTTCCATGGTACCTGTTGCCATGGAAATTGGTGAGGATGCAATTGTTGCGTGCTCCCTGTATGGTGGAGAAGGGGGTGCTGTGAAGGAGTTTTCTGAGGATTGTCCACATAACAAAAACCTTGAAGACAAATGAAATAAAATAAAATTTCAGAGTAACGATTGCAACACGCAGTACACCCTCAGGATGGAACAGAAATGACGAAAACCCAACCAAATTAATTAGCAAGACAGTGCCTTTACATATAATGCTCTGAAAGACTAAAAACCAGACAACCAGACAACCACTGAAAACAGAACAGACAAAACGCAAAAACATAGTAAACAAAAAATACGAGAAAATGACGCCAGAAAACAAACAAAAAAAGTTCAATTAATCACATACCTTGCTAATTGTAAACAAATTGCATAGCAACCTCTGCGAATCTCAGTATCAACATCTTGAGGAAACATGTCCTTCTGGAGGATATTCACCACAACACTGTTTAGAGAAGGCAACAAAAAAATACAGCAACACTCAGTATACTTACAAAGTCATCCATCCGTTTATCATCAACAAATACGGGAATAGACGAGGAAGTCATTTGAAATCACTTTGTTTTAAAAGAGTACTGAGCTCCACAGTTAAGGTTGCGCTTAATAGAGCAGTTTTCAAAGGAGTGCTACAAAATCAAAACCGAAGTGATCCCAGCGACCAATCACAACAAGAATTTACATAATCGCTAGCCAATGAGAACTCAAAGTAAGAAGAGGCAAACTGCTTGGAGCGCGGGAAAACGTGTATGACCAAGTCGCGATTATTTTTATCTGATTGGTCAAAGAGAACGGTGCAAGTTTTTTTGGACCAATCACAGAGCAAATTTATGTAAAAACCAAAGTAATCCAAGATTACTTTTGACATTCAATTAAAAGTAATTCATCATTTGTCTCATGATGTATGAGTCATTTCTGATTTGGATCAGGACGTTTAGACCGCTCTGCCAATCTCCCCCAAACAAGAAGTCGCCTGGTCATGTTTCACCTGAATGAATGAATGTTTTCTCCGCGCACTTAAACCAACTTAAATATGTACAAAACATCAGTTGGAGGAAATGCACCCTAATATTTGTCGTTTTAAGACACATCGCATCTACGATGTAACCAACAGAAAAGAGTAGAGTTTCAGGAACAACTCAATACCTCAGTCCCCCAGCTGCTAAAAAGTTTTCTTTGAACATTCTTGCATTAGCACCTCCATCTCTGTTTTGAGTTGGCATCAACTTGCTACTTAGGACCTACAAATTGTTAAAGAGAACACTAAGACACTGCCGTGACTTCCAGCCCTGTCAGTTTGTTTTTCAGCACTGTGACTTACTTCGTGTGAGTTGATAAACACAGTATACTCATCTCCTTTTCAATGTTGTAGTAATAATACATGTACAAGTACCTCAAGGTTATAAAGTATTCTGAATGGGGACATGCCGGGCATCACACACTTGAACATGTTTTGTAAATTTGTCATAGACAACATTCTGTCATCGGTACCTCCAGGGGAGCAGCTGATGTTGTACTGTAAATAAAAGAGTTTTAACACATGGTTGTATAGTGTATAAATAATAATAATAATAATAATAATAATAATAATAATAATAATAATAATAATAATAATAACAATCATCATCATCTTTATTTAACGTGGGTAGAAACACTTAGCAGAAGCTAGTTTACAGGTTTTCCACGAAATAATATTAAAGAATGCATATAGTTTAATATATATATAAACTAAGTTAAAACATCAAAATACTATAAAAATCTGAGAAAATGAAAAAAAAAGAAAAAAAGAAAATGAAAAAAAAATTACAAAAACATGTTCACTAACTGTAAGTTGCACCAGTAAGTGCTAAACAAGTGCAAGAGAAAGTGATCTCTCACCACAAATTCTTCTAAATACGAATAATTTATTCTTGCGAGCTGTTTCTATTGATCGACTCAAAAAGAAAATATGTTTCCTCGGGCAATTGACTACTAGCGAACTTCAAGTTCGTACTTTTACAGTCACACAGAACGAAACAACTCTATACAAAAATTAGATTCGATGGCATGATTGAATTTAACAAAAAAATAAAAAATTGCTATGGCCAATTCCTTACCTGTTGTCCTATGGAGTCCAAAGCTTCCTGTACGTCGGGATCTGTTGGTAACAACATCAGTAACCTCTGCACCCGCATGGTAATGCTGCAACAAGAAAACAAAATTACCAGAATAAGCAATTGCTGAGATCTTTCATAGATGTATATCTTTGCAATTTTTGTGGCAGTTAAGAGCCGCACTGATTTTGAGACAAGAGTTTACCTCAGTGACAAAGTATGTGTGTACTTTACTCTCAAATAACAGACCTCGTTAAATCAATAATACAAAAACATGCCAACCAACCTTGGTTCTTCAAGCTCGGCCAGTTGATACAACTTGTCAAAAGCTTTACACTCAGTGGCCATGATAACACCAGGCATCATCCTCTCCTTAAGGTAAAGTCACATTTTTACAGTCATATATTTACAGTAGCAACTGAAACGCAGCTGTTTTAACAAAACCTGGTTAGAGAAACCGTCTGTTTAGCTTGCGAGCAGGCGGTTGTGTTTAGGTTTTGCCATGCAATCCCATCTCGGGTCATCACCGCCTATCAAATCATCGGCAGCCTCTTATGGACAAAGTTATTCAAACCTCCATAGATATCTACTATTACATGTCAAAAAGTGGAGATAGACAGAAGGCTACTGTAAAATGTTTCTTTCATTTAAAATCACTGCACAGATGTATTCTCAGGGCCGGTTATTTACACCGGGTCTAACCCAAACCACGGTTTTACGCAATCAGTGAGCCTCGCGCTCTCTCTGTAAGAGAGTTGATTGAATTAAATACATGTCTTTACGCTGTTAGCTTTCAGTTCTCTTGACAGTGTTCGCATTTAAAGAGATGTTCAGATCCAAGGTTGAGCTACACTGAGTATTGGTTAGGAAGCATTTTTGCCAAGCAACGGCTAACCTTTGTTTAAACAAGTGGCCGTCATTGTCTAACTCACCTGTTCCAAAGCATAGGTTTGTCGGTTTGATCCACTTGCACTGGACTAAAACACAAAACAAATCATCGAATGATGTCCATAAGGTGTTCGCAATAATCATATTTCATTTTATATTTTGCTACATTCAAGTTATATATCATTGTTGCAAAACTTTTTCCTCCAAGTGTAGCTATGGCATTTTCACAAGAACCTGAACGATCATAAACGTACCTCATCAATCCGCATGGCCTCTTGACTCTGTGAAAAAGAAAACAGAAGATCCAAATTCAATAAACTATTTCAAAATCAAAATCAGCATGACAGTATTGACACGAAAAAATGCCAGCGGGGAACATTTTCCAACATCCGATTTTGAAAGAAAAAAAAAGTTTAATGTTCTATATCTAACCAAGATAATTTAGTTGATCAACCGAGCCGACAATGTAAAAATTGACCACCTTAAAAAGTTTCTATAGCTGACATTTCAAAAGTTAGCCCTTCGTCAGAGAGAAAACTGATCATTCTCGTGGTCATTTCAAAGTGAATACTGAGAAAAGAAGTTTAACCGCACTTTGCTGCAATACACTCTATCCTTCATTTAATGCTCTATTAGTATCGTCACCAAAAATAAAGTACAACATCGTCTACAGGGAGTGAAAATCGGGGTTTTTGGGATAAAATCAGTATGCCATTCCTGAAAAGTGCAACTTCAGAGGCGACCAAACAACAATTTTATTTCAATTCAGCCCATGTGCACCAAACCACAGTCCTCAGACTCTATAACGCCAAGAGAGACAGAAACTAACCTCAGCTTCTTCCTTGGTTGGTACAGTGGTGACCCCTGACACAGAAACTTTCCCAAATAGTAGTTGTTCATCTTCAAACTCCAGTTGATACAAAAGCTTTTGATCCTTGGACGGCAAAAGCTGAAATCCACATAAAAGAGTTTGCAGAACTCGTTAATTAACAGACTATTGAAAAAAGGCACTTAATTGATTATTCCTTGTCTGTGAGCAAGTCACTTAGAGAATAACAATTATTAATGTATACTAGAGCTGTTTTCAATTGTGTGTTGAAAGTAATCCATGATTCCATTGGTTTTGCTTTACTTCGCTGTGATTGGTCCAGAAAACTCGTTCCAGCTTTCAACCAATCACATTCAAACTAAAACAAATCATGAGCTGGTCACTCACGTTTTCCCGCCCTTTCTGTTACCTTTCTTCGCTCTGTGATTGGTCCAGAAGACTCGCGCCACCTTTCAACCAATCACATTCAAACTAAAACCAATCATGAGCTGGTCACTCGCGAATTCCCGCACTTTTATTACCTTTCTTCGCTCTGTGATTGGTCTAGAAAATTCGCGCCACCTTCTCAACCAATCAGATTCAAACTAAAAATCAATCCTGACTTCCTTGTGTTTCATGCGGTTTACCTGTTTTTACTTGGAGCTCTTATCGATGATGTCAACCTTCACTCCAATTGGCTGTTGTGATTACTTTCAATTGGTTTTAGTTTTTCTAAACGCAAGTGAAAACTGCTCTTTTCACATTCAGGAATAAAGACAGTGAAATGAGTATGCTCCAAACATTCCAGTAGCACGCATAAAAAATAGATGTACAGACCTTCATTTCGTATGATGCAACATAGCTACAGCTGTAGGTAGGGTAACGTTTGGACATAAAATAAACCTCTAACGATAGAGCCACTAAGGACTCAGACTAACACTTGAATTCAAGAAAGTGGATTAAAGAGGCACATACCAACTTTTCTGAAGTAGACAACTGAATTTGCTCATGATTGGTTTTCAGGCGGTTGGCTATCCTGTGACGAAGGGACTTCAAACTTTCATTGGAATGGCACTAAAAGCGGGTGGCAAAATATACATAAAGATAAATAAAAATTCTGCAACACTTTTATTTAGCTGACTGGTATTTTTCAAAGGGACAATCTTTTCCTGTTTGCTGTGATTACTTTCTGTTCAAGTACTAAACAAGGAAAGAAATGAAATATTTCAATTGAAACTACTTGTCAAGAATCTTTCCATGTACGTTGAATCACTGTTTTTATCCTTTGCCAGAAGCCAGCGCTTTCAAAAGCAGCTGGGTAGTAAGTAGATGTATCCAGTAGAAATGCATTGGCTACCCACTTGAAAGTCATTTTACTCCTAACATATGTACATGTAATTCTCTTCAATTGGTTGACTTCTAGGAACAACAAAGCAACACAATTTTGAAGACCTCAATTGCAGAAAAATAAAACTGAAAGAGTCTTAACCTTCAAATTTTTCCAAGGGAGCTAAGATCTCCATTGGAAGAGGAGGTTCTCCAGGTCTTCAAAACAACCTGCCTGTTGTTGTAAACCAATTATTCATACCTGAATAATGTCCATGAAACCAATTCAAAACCCATATTAAATGTATTCACAGACACATACGTTTCTAAAGGATACATACATGTACACCCAATGAAAGCTAAGAACTACAACAAATGGATAAGAACCTGAAGAGTGATCTCTTGTTTGGGTAAATCAGATGACACATTAATGGTGATGGGATATCCATGAAATGATGCTCCATGGGGTAATAAAGTACGAGGACCAGCATGGAGATCCTAATGAAATATAAATAAAGCAATTATAAAACAAATGTTTAACATAAGAGGCAAAATTGTATGGGCCTTATACCTTATACTCATTTTTCCTGTTTTTTTTTTTTTTTGGTTTTGTTTTGTTTTGTTTTGTTAATAGTTTTATTTTGGGGGGTAGGGGAAGGGGTTGTTTTCTCTTAACTTTTGTTAGTTTGTTTGTTTGGTTGGTTGTTTTTGTTTTTGTCTTTGCTGATTTGTCACTTCTTTTCATAGTAACCCATCCCACATGAGAGCAAGTTGAAAAGTGTTTCTCGTGCCAGAAGTGTTGATTCAATCTGCTTTACTCAAATTTACACTTTCCATAATTTAGAGTACCACAGGTCCTTCTGTGCTACAAAGCCTTTCCAAGTGTCACTGAAAATAATTATGGCCAAAAGATTGACCCTCGATCCAACTGAACTCTGTGATTATCAAGAACAGCTTTCACATGATAGATTGGCATGCAAGTGTGGCTTTAACTGTCTTTGTATCTTAATATTTCATTCCAATCACCTAGTCTTCCTGCTCCAAACAATAACTATGACAAGTATAGTTTATCATGTAATTTGGAAAAAGATGAGCTACGGTGTAGGGAGGCTTTAAGATAAACCATAGGAAAGTTAACCCTTTAATTCTGAGGAGTGACCAAAACAGAATTATCCTCACAATATCAATACCATATCAAATAGAAAAGTGATAAGAATAGAGAAAAACACAAATAAGGGATCTATCATTGATCTAATGACAAAGTCTTATTTAATAATATGAATTGTATGGCAGACAGTAAGGAGAATTTCTGATGAAATCAAGGCAATGAGATGGTGAATGATACATGTACATCTAATTTCAAACATTTAAATAACATTATTTTAGTTTAATTATTGGGTAACAAACCTCAACAGTTATGATATATTGTTCTACAAGAACTAAAAGCCTCTCAACACTCAACATGTAGTTAGCCCTGTGAACAGAAAAAAAAACAACACAAAAATCAACTGTACAATGCTCAACCTGGAGATGTGAGTGTACCATTATTGTACAAGACTCCGCAACTTTGTCTATTTTACTTGTTTGCATGTTTTTTCTCTTTTTTTTTTTTTTTTTTTTTTTTTTTTTTTTTTTTTGTTTTTATAAAAATGCCTCCAGGTTTTCAGAGGCAAAGACCATCAAGCAACTACTGATTCCTGTATGGTACAACTTTTAAGATGCTGAAAAAAAGTTCCCTCTATCAAAGCCAGTGGTAAGACAACAAGAAAATCCCACTGATACTGTATATATACCTAGAAAAAAAAAAATAAGGTCAAGGCTAGCTGGCCTTAAGCTAATTTTCTGCCCATACCTGGCTGATCCTGGACTAATTGGTACATCAGGTGTCGCTGGTACAGAAGCAGCAGCAGCTGCAACACCTGCTGCTTGATTGAACAAATTCTGTCCCAAGCCAGACATCATTGCCTACAATTTATATACAATTCAGTGTGACAAATTTAACCAAAACAAATTGTCATCAATTTAAATACAAGTGCAGTTAATCTTCCCTACTATAGATATCAAAGAGACAAAGCAAAGTGTTCATTATTGAGGACTGTCTTTTTTCGGCAGAGGTCACCATGACTGTGCTTCTTTTAAGACTCTACTGACAGGTTATGTTAGTTTCCAGTGACTAAAAATGAAGGACACACTAGCCATCACTAACAAATTATCAATGAGGAACCTCAAACAGCTTAAGTAGCACAACCAAACTAACAGTAAGCCAGAAGGACAGAGAACACAATGTGATAATTCGTAAGTAAGGTTTTGACCAAAAAAATTGCAGTCCAACTAAAACAACTCACCTCAAGGCGTTTGTAGCACTCCAAAATAAATTTCTTGTGAACATTTACAGGATCCTTAAAGAAAACAACAGGTAATCATGCATTAAATGTGCAATATAAAAGCACTACTCCTAACAGAAAGTGTGATATTGTTTACCAGGATTTTGTGTCAATAAAACAAACAAATAATTATACCATCATTACACTTTTAATACTAATAAAATTAAAATGCTTAAGAGAAAATTATTATGATGCTTCTCTTAACTTTAAAGCCAAAATTAGATAATCGAGCAATTGTTTTAATGTCTCCATGTGCACCGTTACAATTATGGATAAATGAAACATTGCTTGAAGGATGTACACCGACAACACATAACAAGGATAGGACACAAATATTATCTGTACATTGTTCATTTTTTACACCCACCTTTTTCAACTTTGGAGACAGCCAGGTGTAACTAAGTTCCATAAGTTGTTTAACAGCCAACATGGCGATTTCCTCTGATGGAACCTCAAGAACAATCCTCCACAAGTAATCAAAACCCACAAGGTCCATTTTCTCAACTGTGTAAGTGTTACCAATCTTTTTGATGCGATTATCATTCTGGTTAACATTCTCCAGAAACGCTTTGCAGCAAGCAAACCCTGTATACAAAATACCATCAACAAATTACACTTTTTTAAACTCATTGACACATTTGCTACAAAATAACACCACCATATCATGATGTGTCACCTCATGCCATTTTAATAATTAATCAAATCACACGAATGACATATCACACTAAGTCATTTGACATCAACACATGGACCACAGGTGTTCACCCTGTGAGCCCAAGGAGTGACCGCCAGCAACTAATTTCTCTGTGCAGAATCATTCCTCAATATCACCAGGAGAAAGGAACTGATCCCCAACCTAAGATGTTTTGATTGTTAAACAAATTCTCCTTGTCAGCATCAAAAGGAGATGCATGGAGAAGACAGGGGAGAAGATGGACACTGATGTTTGGTGCAAAGGATCAAATGTCACATTTTATGTCTGGCATTCCCTTTGGCCTCCTTAATCCCTAGTGTTGCAGGATGGTCAATTTAAGACCCTCTTATGGTTTTGTCACGTGTATTTTGGTGAAATCAAATTAAGGGGGTCAGTTTCTAAAGAAACTGTGTTGCTACACTGGTAGGGGGTATTCCAGATAATTTGTTTATAGCAACTGAGTTGCTAAATGCAAATTGGGCACTGCAAAGAGTTTGTAAAACTGACATTTCAAGCAATAGACCTTCATCAAAGCAAAACATTCAGGTCTAACACTAAACATTCCTGCTTCAGAATCTTTTTACAGTGGCCAATTTACATTTATGAACCCAGTTGATAAAACCAAATTGTGATAAGCTACTGGTTTACATTATTTTCCATCTCTGTCAGTGTACCTTTCATAGTCAGCTTACTGGGATCCAGCTTCAGTACCTTTCCTGTAAACATTTGAGATAGCGTGTCTGGCTCTAAATCACACTGTCCTTTAAAGAACCAATCAAAACATGTCTGCAGAGGTCAAAATGAAATGAAAATTAATTGAAAGAAGTAATTTATTCATTACATTTATTTCTCATAGGAGAGGGACAAAGAAAAATATATGCATCCCAGTTGAGAGGTCAAAACTCAGGCTCATCCAAATAATCTGCATCCTCCATAATGGTAAGATAAGCACGGTCAAAATGTTAATAGATAATTTGCTTTTAGCCTGCAAGTCAAACATGTTTCTCATTTTCTGTAAAAATTCCACAAAGGTTGTTGCAATCAGGAATAAATAGAGTCAGTGCAGTATATTGCTTAAATCGCTCTCGGGACACAAATTCAATTTAAAATCCATTTAAAGTTTAATTACTATTAGCAGTATAATCATTATCATTAATATTTTTATTATTACTATTATAGTCAAATAACTCCCCCACAGCCAAATACATAAATAGAAAAGCAGCTTAAAATAATATCAACCAACCTCACGATCAAATTCGCAAGCATCAACATTAGCTACCAGACAATCCCAGATATCTCTAGCTCTGTGCCAGTGCAGGTAGAGTACCCCTTCTTGCAAGACAAATGCAAGGAAACGTAGGTGGATGTTGACAAACTCCTTGTGTGTATAGCGACCATCAACTAGGGTGTCTTCTTCCAACCCACCAGGAGAGGCAGCTGTGACAGCAAGCTGGTGACAGTTCACAAGGCTGGTGACAGTCAGCTTGATTATGTCATGATTCTTATGAAGCTCTGGAAGGATTCCCTGAAGATACAATACATTTGTGTTAGCTTAACCTGAGCAACAACAAAATTAATTATCACAAAAGACAATACTTGCCTACTAAGGAAAGAAGGGAGCTGTTTCTAATATTTAAAATACAGTACTCCTGTAATTGTAAACTGTGTGATACAGAAAGGTTAAGAAACAAAAAACAAAAAAAAAGAAAATGGGTGCAGACTTACAGAGGTCTCACAACTTGCATTTAAAAAGCAACTGTTTTGCAAATTGAAGTACAATTTTTGAAATAATTATTCAAACATTTCCCTGAACTTTGATTTATTGTCAATGCAGTGTTCCTCTTTTCATATTAACCCCCAACAGTACCTTGTATTACTACTGAAAAATTGCCTGGAATTCATGAAATGTCAAGAGGTGAAGGATTGCTCCGACCATCTGTTTGAAATTTTATTTCATCTGTCGTGCTTAAAATAACGGAGAACACTACTGATGATTAATTTTGATAAACAAGAAGAATATGCAATCCATGGCACAGTGTTTTGACTCCTGAAACCAGAGTTCGAAGGTTTAGGCACTTGTTTTGGTTATCGGTCACTCCAAAGCTTATGCAGACATAAAACTGAACTAACCAATTCATCTCAACATTTTAAATCAATCATTATAATTATATTAATTAAGTTTTCACTGACCTCCCCCCCTCCACCAAAAAAAAAAAAACAATACAAATTGTTCAAGATTTTCTTTTTCAGCCAAATACAAACCTTGTCATGCTTGTTGAACTGTTGTTTCACCATTCCCCTTGTGATTTTCAAAAGTTGACGGATGGCTGGTACAATCAAAACTCCTTTCCTAATGTCCTCCACACACTTGACAGCATAGTTCTTTTTTATTTGTTCCTTCACTGCATAGGAATCACTGAGGATTTCAATGTGTGATTTGAGGGCCTGATCAACCATATCAGTTGTTAGAGATGGCAGGTGAGATAAGCTCCAGAGAAGATCAAGAACCTGAAACAGAAACACAAACCTGACATACACAAAGCACTGATAAGGAACTTTCAGTCACATATTAATTTTCCTCTCCAAAAAGCACTTAATACCAACATCATGTTAGTCTAAACATGTCCCTATACTGTGCTAATTATGAGAAGTATAATTATGTACCTTAGTGGTAATCTTTCCCACTCTAGCTTCCTTTCCAATTCGTCCAATGAGCACAAGCAGTTTCTCCTTCATGCGATCATTCTCTGATCCCCAACTCTGGAAAGAGAGATGAGATGTAATGATAGATATCTTCCACATACTGCAATTGTTCTCAAGGTATTGGTATTGAGATATGGAAATTGAGATCACAAATTGATGTGGCTGGGTAGAAAAAGGTCACTAATGGCCCAACAAAAACCCTGTCAACAAAAAGTCCCAAGACTTATTCCTTGGCCCTAGCAGTGTATTGGAAAAACATTTTCCACCTTTTTTGCTTCAACCAACCAGAGAAGAATTACACTTGACATTACCAAGGACTACCAAATGTTTACCACTCTGTGCTCAGTAAAAAGTAGTATAAAAGATAATTCAATGTTGTTGATAAAAGAATAATAATAATCATGAATAAATTATACCTGTTGGATCAGCACAAATAGGTGTTCAAGTTGGTTGGAGTTAAATTGTACAGCTGCCGTAGCTAAGATATTATGAATGTTGTCTACTTCTGTTGGGTGTTTTCCAACCTTAAAAGTGAAACAAAACAACTAGCACTTTGACAAATTCCTTTAATTTGATTACTACCAGCTATTAGCAATTCCTTTGCTTAAATTTCAAATGCAACATCAATGCTTCATAATCAGGTTATTTATCAAGCATTCATCATTAATTTTTGATATAATCATGATAAAATAATAAATAGTCACATCAATGTTTTGTTAATTGTATAACATTTTTGCAATCAATTCAGAAAAACTTTTTAACAGATGTAGTAATTACATTTCATTAATTACTAGAATTCCAAATTGTAGTATTAGCCTGCAGTCACTTACATCAAGAAACTACAGTGTGCAGTTAATAATGCTACTCAGCATTACAATGCAGGTACAAATAAGAGCATTTACCTGCATTTTCCATATGGTTGTCAATTCATCCAGTGAAAGCTTTGTTCCAAGAAATTCAACTAGGACTTTTATTCGGTCACAATACTGAGACTGATGTAGATTACCTGTTTGTCATGTAAGAAAAAAAAAAACAAGCATTGCATAAATTCTGGTTTCAAAACCATCCCATGCTGTTTATATCTCTCCTCTACATACTAAATAATAATAGTATTGTAATAATTTCATCATAATATTATTATGTAACTCTACATTCAAATAAGAACCATGCATAGTCAAAAAAGTATACATGTGGTGAAAAGTTTCAAGTCATTACAAAACATAATGTCATAGAAATGATTGTCCAAATCTGTTTGTATTTAAGGTATGGCATAGACCCTAAGCTAATACATAACTATTGGCTACTTAGCAATAATTTCTTGAGAAATTGCAGTTTCTCAATAAAAACCTCCAGTTGCTACAGGAAAGAGTGGAAGATTGTTTAATGTGCTTCATATTCAGGTGCTGAGCGGGAGTTCATTTCATATTTTGTAGTTTAAAATCAACTGATTTTCATTTTCATTTAAATTTCCTCACTTTCAAATGCGATTGAGAGCACTTTATTTTGCAGCAGCCACTCTGTGATAGCATCTTGAGACAAATTCACTTTGGTGTTCTTGTTCTTCTCTGAATCTTCAATCAATTTGCACACCTGGCAAAAAAAGAAAAAAATTCAACTTCAGAATCGCAGCACTGTACATGAACTATGAAGAAATTGATGAATTAATCTGAGCTGTCGATCAAATACTACAGTTCCAGATAGGCTACACATAACAGAGCTGGACACTACCTTTTCAATTTACTAGCCACATGGTAAGTGACAACTTAAAAGTTACAACTTACAATTTCAGTTTGTTTACTAACCAAAACTGGCACGTGGAAATAAAAAATCAATAGCCAAAACTGAATTTCTAGTCTGTGGCTAGTTGGCTACCGTTTAAGTGTTGAGCTCTGATGTAAGCAAGATATTTTCATAGGATGAGAACTGCCCATACAATTATTTGGCCTGCTTAAGAGTAGAGGTATTTTGTGCTTTAAAATCATTTCAGGTTATTGAGATTTCACACTACATACATACATGCATCTTCCCTTCTTAAGGAAATTGGATAAGAGAAGCAAATGAAACTAATTTAAAACTACAACACACATTGGTATAAATATATATACATACAAAATGTACGAGGAAAAGAAAGCACACTTACACTGACTGTAGATCTAACAAAAATCAGCCATGATTCCAGGTACAAACCTCTTTCAAGGAGTTCATCTTTGCATTAAAATGAGGACTTTTGAGCATTTTCAGAGCAACTTCCAACCTCAAGTCATCCACTCCAGCCACCATGTTCTGCCAAAGTCTCATACACAGGAGTTTGAGAGTTGTCAACAAGTCAAACACATCACCAACTGTCTGTAAAGAAGAGTGTTTTGACATTAATGAACTAAAATTGATTACTGGCAAATAATGTGTTCTTCAAAAGATTGCAACCATTCTCAATTTTTTTAATCATTCATGCAGTGAAAATTAAAGCAATGGATAATAATAAACTCCTGCCTCAAAATTGACAAAAACTTTCCAAAGGGGGCACAGTCCTTTAACATTAAATAAGATGGTCTTGAAATGTCAGAAACTAAGCCTAACAGGGAACAATAAAGGCAACATTTTAGCAGAAATATTAATTCTTTGACTCCTAAGAGTGACTAGCAGCTAATTTCCCCTGACAGTGTCATCCCTGAATCAGAAATTCAGTTATGAGAATAAAGGTAATAATAACCAACATTTGGAGTACATTCATACTGATGTCAGGGTGTAAAGAGTTCAAAAAAACAAAACAAAAAATTAACCCTTTTTTACTTCAGGTTTTTTTTAAGCTGACTTACCTTTTGTTTCATATCTTCATTAGTAAGTTCTTGAATATAAGCCAAGGTCTTTTCAAAAACATCACTGAAGACTTTCTACAATGAAAAGCGAGCGAAAAAAAAAAGTATTCTATTAAATGAATTTCCTTGCTACATTTGTAGTGACTCGTGCCTAAGGGGGGGGTGGGGGTGTTATGATTGCATCTTTGAAGTGAAGGTGACTTACAATGTATTGTGTTATTTTGTGAAATCTTACCGGTAACACTTTGGCATTCAAATAACTGGCACATATTCCCAATGGTTTTAAAAGTGCAGCTAGCATCTAAAATGAGAAATGAAATGAGTTTGTAAAAACCTAAATAAATTAAATCATCTTAGAGAGGAAGTCAAGAATTTAATCAAAACTATTGATAAAAAAAATTTGAATTTCTGTCTAAAATACTGTTCAGATGTATGTCACTCATTAACTGAGCAGTGCTCTTACTGGGGCATCCACTTTCTCAGCTGTCTCAATCTGCTTCTTAATTTCCTCAAAACCACCATGCTCTGCAAACTGAATTNTAATCATAACAAAAAAAATTGTCACTAAAATAATATAGTCACAAGTCAGACTACATCTAGTATCAGACACACCCAAATAAAGGGCATAATTCCCATAAAATACAACTGATGTGTCTGCAGATGTTGTGACATATGAGTACTTCATGTATTTAACTCAGAAGTCATGCACTTGTAAGAGATAGATGTAGAGTGATAGAGTTACCTTGTTTATCAAGTTCACCAGCCACCCATAAGGTTCCTATAGCAAAAACAGAAAAAGTCACTTCAAGTTCCTACTGACAGTATTTAGTGATAGTATACTTTACATAAACTGTTCTTTAAAAAAAAAAGCATATTGAATTTTGTTGAAATAAATTTTAAATAATATTTCATTTAAGTGTATAACTTAATTTTGTATTTCCTATTCTTTTAACAAAACTTATCATAAATTATAACTCTAGCATGAATAAAATTAAAAATCAACCAAATAACTTGGTTGTAAGGATTTCAAAATTTTACCAATTATATTTTGACAAGTATTCAACAAAGAAAAGGGAGAGAGGGGGCTGAAACCAAATTCAAAAATTTTGGTCAATCTTTATTTTTTTGAATTTTGCAACAAAATTTGTCCAAGATTGAAGTTTGCAAAAGCAAAAGTTAAACTGGATTGTATTGTAAGCTACTCCATAGACAATAATTTACCTTGTATGAAGTATGAGTGTAATAGGCTGAACTTGGTGGACACACTGCATAACAATCATCTGCTCCAAACACTCCTTCATAATACTTCTTGTCCCACTGTTTGGTTCTGTTTTTGAACTGGAACTCTGTTTCTGGATTAAATGCCTAAAAATACAATAGCCAACTGAAAATAACTTTAAGAGTGTCTATTTTAAAATGAATTCAAACAGTTATCATAATGATAAAAAGATGAGAAAACTGAGTTCAATCAAATTCCAAGTTCCCATGTAACATGTACATGCAACACAATTTAATAAGTTAAATGTCTGTGAATTTACGAAAATCGAATATGTGAACTACAGTTTAACTAATGAATAGGAAAGCAACCATTATGATAGCAGTTCATAGAACTGATTTTCATACATTCACAGTCTTTGATTCATCACGTCACAAGTTTATTACAACCACCATAATGACCAGCTCCCACATGGCTTGTTAGCTCAGTTGGTAGGGCACTACACTAATAGAGATCATGGGTTCAAATCCCACACAGGCCTGAATTTTTTACAGGCCTCATTTTGACAACTGCTTAAGTAGTGTTTATTGGTATGAAGATTGCTTTCATATTCACAATCAATCAAAATTCCTAATTGCAAAGCCAAACATGCTTCAAATCATTACATGTGTACATATACAGTACCTGTGTCAATAGTTCAAGTAAACCAAATGGTACTGGTTTGTACTTGAGTCTGGAAGCTACTAAATTCAGGAGCAGATGGAGCATGTCGTAAATTCCCTCATGGATTTCCAGACCCCATCTGTGGACTGCCTGTGTTGTCAGCAGCTGTAGCAAAAAGGAGAGAACAGTGAATGGTTTCAACCCAAGAGTAACAGTTGATCTTGTAGCCTATCCTTTTAGGTGAGAGTACAAGTATTTCTGAAAAGGACTTTGGCTGATAGAGGTAAGGGATATTTGGACAATCTGAAGACAATTCAAGATTAGAATCATTTGACTCAGATATGTCATCATATTAAGGTTGTCCCAACCTACTGTAAGTTAATGCTGTACTATTGACAATGGTCCTTTTCAAGTTTATTCTTAGCTCAACAATCACAATATGCAATAAAATAAGAACAAATCTCACAACAGAGTCAAGTAAACACAGTGTAATAGTCATCAATACATTGCTTACCACATGAATGTACATTAATTTAGGTCACTTCGTGATCAAAATTTAATTATTAAAACTTACCATATCAATGACACATAAACTGATGTGTTGACAACTTTTTATGTGTATCAAGAAAACCAATAATCCTCACAGGCTGTAGATGAGCTTCAATTTGAGCAATTTCAAAGGTACAAATGTGTAAATGTGATCATACCTTTTTGAAGCATTCAGGTAGTGCTCTGTCCATAAATCTCTTGCAGTTTTCGTCAGCCTCAGCAAGACCTAAAGAAGACATATTATTTCCAGCTTAATTTACTATGGTGACTATGCCTACTCTAACTTCAGAATTTTGTAATCCCGAACTTTTAAGATTCACGTAAATGTTTTGGACATGTGCGCATCTAAAGCAAGTCCACTTATTAAAACTAACCCAACATATAAAGAAGGTATGGTAAGTAGGAAGCTCGTTGCAGCTTCAGAAAATGAATCTAGTCATGCAGAACAGCTTAATAAGAAGGACTGACTCACATCAAATGTAAAATGAGTTGGAAAGTTAAGTAGTCACAAGGTGGCATTAGGTGATCTACAGAATATTCCAAGGGATGAACAAGAACAGATCATGAACATGAACCACATATGAAAAGCATACACTGATCACAAAAAAAATTATCAATCTAACACATCCTCCTTTTGGTTTCTAATACCTACCAGCACTAAAAAAACAACACAAACACCCTCAGGAAAGTTAATTTTGATGATAAAATTAGATATGGATGTTTTGACTCGTATGCCACAATCCAAATGTTTTCCAAAATTTTGAAAAAATAAAATTCCAAGTAAACAGTAGCATTCATCTACAGACACTGTTACAATATTGTACGGCAATTGAAAGATTTCTGACTTTTTAGCCACTCACACCATAATGTCTATTTTGCTTTATATGCAGTAATGAATTTTTATAGGTTGTAATTGTTTGCCTTTTCTCCGTAAGTCTTGTATTTACCGTTATATATATATATATATATATATATATACTTTTTTTTTAAATATATAATTTATATATTTCTCTTTATTTCATGACTGTAATTTAGTAGCAGATTGTAATTCTCTGACCTATGCCATATAAGCCTCTGGCTTTGGCATCTAATTATCATTAACTTGTCCATAATTATTATTAAAGATTATTAAAGAGAGATTATTATTATTATTATTATTATTATTATTATTAAAGTAGTATTTCAGTTTCAAACACTAAGTTTGAAAATCTTTCCCAACAGGAGAGTTGAATGCATGCTGAGCTGTTCCTGATATGATGTGATGTGATATGGGTGCACCTGATATTTTCCAATTTTACAAAGGCATAATATTAAACAATATTGGGATACAAATCATTGTTTTCATAAGAGGCTATCGATGCAATTGTAAAGATACACTCGAAACTTGAGCTTAGCTGCTTAGGGAAAATAATTATAGGAAGTAATGCTTTAAGTACACAGTACACAATTACCACTGTATGTATAATTTAGTGTACATGGGAGTCAGATTTTTCAAAATCAAGAACAAATACCGAGGAAAAGAAAAGATCTAAAGAGGAAGACGAAAACTAAACATTATGGTCATGCCCACTTTCGTTTCACTCACCATCTTGAGCAAATCTGGCTGCACTTTGTAAGCATTTTCCCAAAGATTCGTCCCTCTTGTAAGGAATTGACCAGTTGTCCACAAAAACCCTGTCCTCCAGTTCATACAGGTTAGTAGTGGGAAATTCCAGTGGTATCTCCATGCTTTCACTTTCATCGCGACTGTGACCAGCTCCATTTTGGGACAGACCTGCAGGATTCATGGCTTCGTCGTACGATGGAGGTGGTTCTCCCGTTGGAGGCTCAAAAACGTCTCCATCTTCACCTTCCCTAGAATCCACTAAAGGAGGAATCATGTCTCCGTCATCCGAGCCGTGTTGCGTCTCCGTGTCTTTCACTTCCGTGTCTTCGTAATCAAAACTTGTGCTTGTTTCTTCTCCCGTAAGGAAAGCCACAGCATCATTCAAGTCATTCTTTGCCAAACTTAGCGCTTTGCGGATCTGCGCGCTGTCGACAAACCCCATGTTTAGCAAAGTGTCGACGTAAGCTTCGTTTGGCTCCACCATTCTGACAATGACCCCTGAGGTTACAAATTAATGAATCGCAACTGCTGATCTCCTCATTCAGGTTTTACACTCTGTCGCCATGTTGAAATTAAGGGCTGTCCCGGATGGGTCATTACCTGGGAAAACTGGTAACTATCTTAGGAAGCTTGGTCCCAGTTTACAACCGTGTGTTTGCACAAAATGGCGGAGCTCAGAAAGCGGGGAGCGACCGGTTCCTCTCGCGAAGCAGATTCCGAGTCAACCCGCGATTCGTTCTCAGTGACTGCATACCCAAAGGAGAGAAATTCAGCAAGCTGGACGTTCTTTTTCATTCTTATTTTGTACTTATTCTCCTTGTACGTTAGCTTCAAAGCCTCCAGATCTGTTCCCTCGCCCAAAACAACAATGGGGAGTTCCTCCAGCGAGTTTGTAGAAGAAAAAGCTCGTCAGCATCTAGATGCAATTACATCCTTTGGACCGCGGCCCGCTGGAAGCTATGCAAATGAAATTCAAGCTGTGAATTACATCGTTGGAGCTCTGCAGGCAATAAAGGACACTGCACGCGAAGATGTGATCATCGAAATCGACATTCAGAGACCATCGGGTAGTTTCAATTTAGCCTTCTTTGATGGATTTTCAAGCGTCTATCGCAATGTGACCAACATCGTGGTCAGAATAACACCGAAGGAAAGCTATCCGCCCAAAAACACAGTCCTCGTCAATGGGCACTTTGACAGTGTGCCAGGGAGTCCTGGCGCTAGTGATGATGTAGTTAGCTGTGCTGTAATGCTGGAAGTGATTCGATGTCTTACGCACACGCATAGCTTCCGTTTTATTCACGGTGTTGTGTTTAATTTTAATGGAGCTGAGGAAAATGTCTTGCAAGCAAGTCACGGGTTTATTACACAGCATAGATGGGCAGAAACGATCAAGGCGTTTGTGAATCTGGAGGCAGCTGGTGCAGGTGGGTGTATTGTAATCATTGCTTTACATTTGACAGAGCTGAAAAACTATGCGCGCATCACAAACTCTTACGGGCTTATCTTTAGCAGCAGTAGAAGAATTAAGTGGAATTTTTTTTTGTTAACAATAATGCATTTTTTTGCCTTGGTTAAAAATCAAGTGGAAAAGTTAAGCTAGAACTGTTGCCATAGACTATCCTTAACAGGCTACCCAACATCTTATGAAATGCATTTTGTGCAACACAAGCTACAGTTATGGTAATCTGTTTTTAATAATCTGGATAAACTGTGTTCAAATTAACACAGGTCTTATAATGCATGATGGATTTCTACAATTTGGGAGTGTTTTAAAGAGATATATGAGTAATCTGGGAATACAAAATGAAAGAGTATAAACAGTACCTAAGCCAAGGCAAACTCAAACAAAGAGGGGAAGGAGAGGGGAATGAAGTGCAAGGTATGCTGCCACACCTGAGATTTTACCAGACTCCCTGAAATGTTTCCTTTAGTCCATTGCAGGTCAACCCAACATTTCATTATATTTTCCTGACAGTTTACCAGCAACCATTAATTTTCTATATTTCTGCATGTATAATTCCTTTTAGTTATTATTTTGGCTTATTTGATGGAATACCTATGTATTCCATTTCAATCTATAACTGGTGAAATGAAATCTGGACAGTCTTCATTATGGAATACAATAGAAATCAGTTATTTTTTTAATGCAATAAAGTAATGGGAATTTATGCCTGTTAAATGGAAGTGGGCCAGCCAGTCAGGTGTTCTTGTGCCTTGGGTGTGACTGCAGTTGCAGCAGCAGGTCCCCTGGGGCACCTGACCTCCATTTGCAACTTGGGGGAAAAATTTTGTTGTAGGGAATAACAACAACAACAACCGCTGAGGGGGGTCCCCATGGATTGCATGCATTTGATTTGATTTATTGTTCACTGCAGGTGGAAGGGAAGTGTTATTTCAGGCAGGTCCTGAACATCCTTGGCTGATCAAGACATACTCAGAGGTAGCCCCACACCCCTGTGCACAAGCTCTGGCTCAGGATATCTTTCAGAGTGGGATCATACCTAGTGACACAGACTTCAGGATATACAGGGACTTTGGTCAAGTACCAGGTACAGTACCCACAGTGTATTTATAACATGTCCACTTTGAGAGTCTAGAGAAGGGAAATACATGACTCTATAAGTTACCTAGTAGGTTGATTAAAAAATTGGTTAATGCTTAGCGTGCATATTATAGAGTCATAGATGTATGCAGGAAGCTTCTCAGGTACATCCACAACTCCATATAGTGGCAGCCAAAAGCATGAATCAATTCTAACTGACTGAATTAACAGGACCTGCATAGATAGCAGTTTTCTTTCCTAAACTGAAGCAGCAATCCTGTATAAATATATTTAAATTATTATTATTATTATTATTATTATTATATTATTATTATTATTATTATTATTATTATAATGACTGAATTTCTGACAGAATAAATGACTGAGTTACTGATTGGCTGAATGACTGACTTAGTGAGACTGAGTTTCTGAATAAATAACTGACTGACTGGATAAATAAATGATTTAATGAGAGGATGAATTAATGAATTCTAAAGTGAATGACTGACTTATTGACTGGCTTGAAATAATGAATGTAGTTACGAACATACCAATGAATGTACAAATGTGCTATTGATCAAACGAAGGAAAATATGCATAGATGCATGCAGGGATGCAGGAACAGACCTAGGCACGCATGCAGGCAGGCACAAATGCATGCACAAACAGATTAATGAACAATCAAGTGAATGAATGATTGAATGACTTGCTGACTCAGGGCTGATTGAACAGTGAACTAACTGAATGACTGATTAGTATTTGATCAATTCATATTACTAATCTATTGTTTTATTTACAAATTGATTCTTATCCTGGTGAACATCTCTTTTGCACTGAGCCAAATCAGTATACCAATAAATTTCTGATCTATAGGAATGGACCTTGCCTATACTGCCAATGGTTATGTTTACCACACTTATTATGATACACCAGCAGCTGTAACTCCAGGCTCTATTCAGCGCGCTGGTGATAACGTACTGGCTTTGGTCAAGAGCATAGTTAATTCACCATTTCTAGCTGACCCTGGAGAATATCGTCATGGTTCCATGGTGTTTTTTGACTTCCTGGGAATATTTGTTGTACATTACCCAGAAAGAATTGGCTTGGTGATAAATCTCTCATCAGCTTTTGTAGCAGTTCTCTGTCTCCTCAAAAAATTCCTTCAATTTCCAGCAAAGAGAACGAAATTTGAAGAGGGTAAGATAGAAATTGATATTATCTGCTTGAGTAGATACACCTGCATCTACTATGATAATCATAATGCAGTATTTCCTGTACTTATTTATGGAAACATAGATCCTATAGCTGACCTGATTAGATCTTTTTCATGTGGGGATTAATCAAGTTGTTGTAGTCTTAAAACAACAAACAAAAATTTATTTATTTAATCACTTTCACCAGAGTAAGGTGAGGGTCACACAACAGAGCGAGGCTCCAAATTAAGTGCGCCCAATATCCCACCCATCCCACCCCAGGGGAGGACATCCATCACACAGTAATCTCGTGTGTGGGAAATTAACGTCTCCTACCCCAACCCTGCAGGAGACGGGACCTCCATTTATTCGTCCCTATCTGAGAAGACTAGAAAATCTAACCATTTCTTGATGTTATAGATAGGTAGCAAATTCTTCTCAATTATTTTAAGACCTTGAGTGTTGGTCCAGCCAGGGCTCAAACCATCGACCTCCCGCACAAAAGTCCAGCACTATATCCATTGAGCTAACTGGGAGGTGGTTAGATTTGTTTTCTGCCCAGTGTTTCCAATCGTTTTGGTACATTGTCATTGTTTTCAAATTTCTGTGAGCCAATTTCCTACTTTTTGTTCACATAGGAAAACCAACATTGTAACAGGTGAGGGGTGTTATGCAATATTGTTGCAAGATTGTAGACCACAAAGTGTCAGTAACTAAAGGCTGTCCTCAACACTCTTTTTAACCTTTGTTTTTTTTTTTTCCTCAGGAAAAGTATCAAGACCTCCATCTTCCATAGCAGATCTTCTCATCTCTCTGTTCATCCTAATGCTATCGTGGATAGTTGGAACATCATTTTCTGTGGCTGTAGGTGTTGTTCTGACTCACTCAGGTCATGCACTTACTTGGTACTGCCGGCCCTACCTACTCCTGGCATTATACATTGCGCCATCTGTGCTGGGCATTGGTTTTGTTCATTTTCTTGTTAAGAAATATATCATGGCAAAGGTAGACACAGGGAATTATTAGTTTATTTTTGCTACTGATTAGAATTATATATTAGAATTATATAAAAAAATAACAAGATAGTGTAATTTGTGGACAGAGTCTTTTGAAATTTTTCTGACAATTTTTTTCAACCTTAACTTTTTTTAAAGGAAAAAGCTGTGGTGGCAAAAAAAGAAGATATTAGACCTCTCGAGGAAAGGATAACTGACAAACTTATGAAGAAAGAAGCACAAACATTTTATGCTGCTTTTCTTGTCTGGACAGTAATCATCTTGATAATGTCGTATTATCGTTTGGCTTCAGCATATTTTCCACTGCTCTTTATCATCTTTCCACTGATGATACGAGTTGTTATTTGGGACATTGTGTTAGCTGCGAAGACATGTCATCAAAATGTTGGAGCAGTTTTGTTCATGTATCTTGTAGCTACAGTGGTACCTGTTCAGTTCTGTATGTATGTGACATTCGTTATGCTTGACCTCTTTGTACCTATTATGGGACGAGGTGGAACACAAACACCTCCAGATGTCTTTATAGGTGTCCTGTGTGCCTTTGGTGTTGTAATGTTGACTTCTTATGTGGTGAGTGTGTTCATTTAGATCCACTCAGTTTGCTGATTCATGTTTGCCTTGGGTCAGGAAAAAGTCAGGAAAAATAGATAAATTATCTTCAAGGTCAGGGAAAAGTCAAGGAATTGCACTTTGACTCAGGAAAAAATTTACTTCTTTGAAAGAAGTTAGGGAAAAAGGGAAATTTTCAAGAAAATGTGAAGTCAATTTTACTCATGTTTGTTGTTAGGTTGAGTTGACAGATTGCTGTGGCAACCATGTGATAAAATGCTGTAAAAGTTTGGATGAGCCCGTTGTTAACTGTACCTGTTGACTGTTTTATTTGTTTGTTTGTTTTTTTTTGTCTTTCAGGTTAGCACTGTGTATATTTTGGGCAACCTTAAATTTCCAGCTATATTTCTCCTGTTTGTTACCACCGTAGGAATGATAGTATCATTTTCAGGACTGTCATTTCCTTACTCAGCTGTCAATCAGTGCCCTAAAAGGGTTTTCTTTCAGGTAACAAAATCTTCAGTCAATTAGTATTGACACTAACTGTTTTCCTCACAATTGTTTTCATCCTGCAGTAGCAAGGATGGACAAATGAGTCAGTATCCATAAATTGCTGTTTATACTGTAAAAATAATTATAGAATTCCAAACTCTTTTCTTTAAACTTGACCTTGATGCAACTTCAAACTGGAAGTCCTTTTAGTTTAAACATCTTTAATCATATTTTTTTGTATTTATTTACTGTTAGCAAACTTTGACTCCCCCAGTCAGGTCCTACTGAAAATGCAAGTTGCAAAGCCAATATACAGTACCATGCCGGCATGCAAGCAATTGAATTGTTTAAAACCTCCTCCAAAGACAATTTTTTAAGGTGTCTACAGTCACATTGAATAGCGGATAATGTTCGCACCATGTATGGACTGTTTTTTAGTCTATGCTTTCATCAACATTTTGTCTTACGTGCAGCATACATCAAGAACATTTTACAATAATGCAGGTGAAGTGGTTCATCAAGATGCAGGTGTCTGGATCACTCCACTCGACTATCTTGGCATTCAGCCATTCAGTGATGCACCCATGTTTAAGAAGGCTTTACCTGCACCTCAGGAAGGAGCTTATGGAGGTTTTCCTTACTACCTGCCCTTGAGGCATTTCGTACGGTATGTGCTACATGCTCATTCATTCACATTTATAGGCCTCTAGTTATTCCTGGAATATATATATATATCCTATTAGACGTTTTCTTGTGTAGTATCACTTAGTATTTTTGCGAGTTGTGCCGTATTTTGACGAGCCCGTGGGGCAAGTCAAAATACAAACAACGAGTAAA